GCTTTTAAAAATGGACTTAACAATGCCCTAACAGACAGATTTGTGTATTTACTGTTGAATGTAAGCATACAGAAGTGGTTCTTAATGAGGAAAATCTTATCTTTGAACATGCAGTAGAAATTGGAGTAATGAAAACTGCAGCAAGGAATGCAATAGAATCACCTATGGCAGCTAAAATGGAGATAGGAATGCATAAACTATCTGCAACTTAAGGCAAGATCTGGACTACTCATCAAACAGACATTTATTATTGGTGTAGAAAAGGGTTCCACTCTCCCTCTGATTGCTGATTCAAAGATACATATTGCAGAAATTGTACCAAAAAGGTCACATCCAAGTGATTTGTCACACTAAGATAAAAAAGGAACAGACCAAATCAGGATATAGGAAAGGAATATTAATGTACAGTCTGTAGACAGAAACAGCAGTGACAGACTGTGAGAGTGGAGTCACCAGCCTATATAAATGACAACCAGACATGTCATTTTTTTACTGAGGCGGTGTCTATATCTATCTATATCTATACAGTCTGAGCAAAAATGACAAGTCGGGGTGACACCCAGGGTATGTCTAGACTGCATCCCTCTGTTGGCAGAGGGATGCAGATTAGGCAGGTCGCCATTGCAAATGAGGCAGGGATTGAAATATCCCGCGACTCAGCACTTTGTCAGCAAAAAGCAGCAGTCTAGAGGGGGATCTGTCGAGAAAGAAAGCCTTTTTCGACAGATCCTGTAAACCTCCTTGTGGGAGGCATAAGGGATCTGTCGAAAAAGGCTTGCTTTCTCAACAGATCCCCCTCTAGACTGCCACTTTTTGTTGACAAAGTGCTGAGTCGGCAAAAAGTGGTGGCCATTTTTATGCAAATTAGGCGCAGAATATTTCAATCTCTGCCTCATTTGCAATGTCAACCTGCCTAATCTGCATCCCTCTGCCGACAGAGGGATGCAGTCCAGACATACCCACAGTGTGGTGGGAAAATGCTCACAACAGAATTGGATGTAGGGACTATCATCTCATGTATGGAATATGAAAACTTTTAAAAATACCAAATTGATGGGGATATTAATGTTGCTCAGAAGATGGTGCCAATTATCCTGAGGCAAGTGAACATGGAGTACAATAAGCACTGTTTATTAGACTTGTATGTCATTGAGAAGGGGGGACTGGCTCTATGAGGCAGTGAATGGTTACATAAAGATTCCTCTAGATTCCTCTGTGTGGACTGAGTTGGCACCCGAGCTGATTGCAGGGGTGGGTGTGACAGACCCCTCCACCGCCCCCACATGCTTTATGAAATAGACTTATGGACACAAATGCACATAACTCAAAAGTGCTTGGGACAAATTGCTTCATGTAACCTATCAATCTTCATGTCATAATCTACTGGATCTGTTTACAAAGGTTACTCACCTTGTGCAGTAACTGGAGTTCTTCAAGATGGTGTCCCCATGGATGCTCCACACTTGGTCTTGGTGCCGTCCCGGCGCCTGGATTGGAGATTTTGAAGCAGTCCCTGCTGGGCTGCGCATGCACAGCATGAACCAGCGCATGCCGTGCTAGTAGGCACCGTGCATGTGTGGCCCGATCCCTCCAGTTCCTCCTCTACCCTGGAGGCCTCCAGGTCCAATGCAGAGAGGAGGAGCATGAGTCATGAAGCATTGCTGGGGACACCATCTCAAAGAACTGCAGTTACTGCACAAGGTGACAAGTATCAGAGGAGTAGCCGTGTTAGTCTGGATCTGCAAAAGCAACAAGGAGTCGTGTAGCACCTTATAGACTAACAGATGTATTGGAGCACAAGCTTTCGTGGGCAAAGACCCATATGCATCTGACGAAGTGGGTCTTTGCCCACGAAAGCTTATGCTCCAATACATCTGTTAGTCTATAAGGTGCTACAGGACTCCTTGTCGCTTGCACAAGGGGAGTAACCTTCATTTCTTCTTTGAGAGGTCCCCCTGGATTCTCCATACTTGGTGATTAACAAGCAGTTTCGCCCCGTGGTAGTTGGGGCTTCAGAATGTTACAGTAAGTGGAGGATAACACCACAGAGCCCACTGCAGTGTCAACCATGTAGGAAAGTGCATAGTGCTTAGCAAAGGTAAGTTGTGATGCCCAGGTGGCTGCAAATGTCCATCAGTGGCACGCTGCATAGATACACAGTAGAAGCGGATACAGCCCACATGGAACGAGCTGTCAAATGTAATGGTGATTGTAGGCCCTTGAGCGTGTAATTAATTTTTATACAATCTCTAATCCATTTCGACAGCCTCTGTTTTGATATGGGCCATCCCCTAACTCGATTGGCAAATGTGGGGAATAGGCGAGGTGACTATCTGAAGGGCCTTGTTCTTTCTAGATAAAAAGCCAATGCTTGTCGAACATCAAGGGTATGCATGGCAGACTCAAATGCATTTGCATGTGGCTTTGGGAAGAATACCGGTAGATTTACAGGTTTGTTTATGTGAAATGATGAAGGAACTGTAGGTAAGTATTTTGGATGTGTGTGCAAAGGGTAACCCTATAAGACTGAAATACTGTAAAAGGTGGGTTGGCCATGAGTGTTGTTATGTCTCCAAATCAGCGGGCTGATGCGATGACAACCAGGAATGCAACTTTCATGGAGAGGTGTGAATGGGAGAAGAGATGAAGGGCTTGAAAGGTGGCCTAGTTAAGGCTTGCAGTACTAACCCAAGATCTCAGGCAGGCACTGGTTGTATGATATCAGGATGTAAAAGATGCAATCTTTTGAGAAACCTTTTGGCTGTAGGATGAGTAATCATGGAGCAGCCATCAATTTTTCAATGAAAGACTGTAATGGCCTCTAGGTGTACCTTGATGGAACTAAACGAGAGAGCTGATTGCTTTAAGGCGAGTAGATAATCAAGGATAAAAGACAGGGGTGTTGACATTGGGTTCTGCTCTTTTGATGTACACCATGCTGAGAATCACTTCCACTTGTAAGTGTAGGAGGCATGGGTAGAGTCTTACCACTGGGGATGAGGATTGTCTAAATCTGTTCCAGGAGGTCTAGTTCTAAGTGGGAGAGCCACAGAATAGTTGTGCTGTTAGCTGTAGCTTGCATAGATTCAGGTAGGTTTGGGTTGTCTGCCCCACAGTGATTAGGTTGTATTGGAGAGAGAGAGTGATGGGTGTGTGAATTGACTTCCTGAGCAGGAAGGGATAACACAGTTGTCTTGGCCAGGTGGGAGCTATCAGAATGACTGTGGAGCCATCTGTCCTGATCTTCTGAACAACCTTTGTCAGAAGTGGTATGGGGGGGAAGGCTTAAGTGAGGTCGTGACTCCACTGGATGAGGAAGGCATCCCCAAGAGATTCTGTCCTTATGCCTGTTCTTGAACAAAACAGTGATTTGGTATTGTGCAGCATTGCAAATACATCTATTTATGGTCGGCCCCATTTTTGAAAAAGGGAGTGTGCTACCGAAGGGTGGAGCACCCATTCGTGATGTTGAGGAAAGCATCTGCTGAGAGCATCCTCCGTCATGTAGGAGACATCTTGTATGTGAAATGCGGAAAAGTGGATGTTGTGGCTGATGCAAAAATTCCACAGTTTTATGGCTTCGGTGCAAAGGGATAGAGATCTGGCCCTGACCTGTCTGTTAATATAGAAGAAACAGACAATGTTGTCCGAGAGGACATGGACATGTTTGTTGGCAATGGAAGGCAGGAAATGTCTGCAAGCATTGTGTACGGTGTGCAGTTCTAAGAGATTTATGTGTAAAGACATCTCTGGAGTTGACCAGAGCCCTTGGGCAGTCGGATCTGGGAGATGAGCGCCCCAGCTGGTGAGCGAAGCATCTGTTGTAATCATGCACAAGGAGGAAGGCTGGAGAAACAGGACATCCGTGCAAAGATTGGCTGGTTTGGTCCACCAAAGGAGCGATGTTTTGACCTCATGCGGTGTTGTGAGTGGGAGTGACATGGGGTGTTTCCAAGGCTTGTGCTCTGGAAAACCAAACTTGTAGGCAGCGCATATGAAGTCAAACATTTGATACTATGAATGTTGTGGCAGACGTGGTCAAGAAGTTGCAGACAATCCCTGGCTATAGTGTGAGAGGCAAGGTAAATCATCGTGGCCAGTGTCTGACTGATGAGGAAACCCTCATGAGGTAGATAGGCTCGAGCCGCGGGGAAATTAGGTGGGCACCAACTAATTGTATGTTCTGGGAAGGGTGAATAGAACACTTTTCCCAGTTTGTTCGAAGGCCTAAATTTTGAAAGTACTTTATGGTCATTGCTGTCATGCGTGCTGATTCCGTCTGGGACAATTTCTTGAGAAGGCAGTCATTGAGATAGGGGAATATGATTATTCCCATGGAGTGAAGATGCACTGTGACTACGGAAGTACTCTGGAGAAAACCCCAGAGGCCATGGAAAGATCAAAGGGTAGGATTCTGCATTAGTAGTGGTCACAGCCTACCATGAATCTCAAGAATTTTCTGTGGGCAGGATGAATCAGGATATGAAAATAGACATCCTGGAGGTCAAAGGCTGAAAACCAATCCCCTTGTTGCAATTCCGGGATAATGGTGGTTAGAGTGACCATGTGAAAGTGTTGCATCTCTTCAGGGGCCCCTGAAGAGGGATGGGGTAGGAGGGTGGATAGGAGGCTTGGGGAAAAATGGGATGATGATAGAATCATAGAACTGGAAGAGACCTCAGAAGGTCATCAAGTCCAGCCCCCTTCTCTAGGCAGGACCAATCCCAACTTAATCAACCGGGCCAGGGCTTTGTCAAGCCAAGACTTAAAAACACCTCTAGGGATGGAGACTCCACTACTTCCCTAGGTAACCCATTCCAGTACTTCACTACCCTCCTAGTGAAATAGTTTTTCCTAATATCCAACCTGGACCTCTCCCACCACAACTTGAGACCATTGCTCCTTGTTCTGCCATCTGTCACTACTGAGAACAGCCTCTCTCCATCCTCTTTGGAACCTCCCTTCAGGAAGTTGAAGGCTGCTATCAAACCCTCCCTCGCTCTTCGTTTCTGTAGACTAAACAGACCCAAGTCCCTCAGCCTCTCCTCATCATGTAACTGGACATAATAATATTGAGCACCCATGTGTCTGAGATGATGTAAGCCCTCTGGTGGTAGAATGGACAGAGCCAATTGTGGAAAGTTTGTATGGTCGTTCTCAGCATTGAAATTTGTAAGGGTTTTTCGAGGCCCTTGACCAAGCGTTCAAATTTGCTTGTTGGCCAGTGGCAGTTGAGGGGCTGAGCCCGATGACGGTCTTCGCCTCTGAGGCTGGGTTTGGTTTCTGTTGGGGTTGTTATCCTGCCATTGGTTAAGACAGGCAGGGTAGCATGGCCACTGATAGGGCTGATATCACTATTGTCTAGGCCTGCTGGCGGGTGGATATATCACTAATGTACAAAGAGTGGCACACGAGTCCTTCATAGTGTTCAGAACTTCACTGGTCTTAGCTGCAAATAGCTTCTCTCCATCAAATGGCAGGTCTTCTGCTGTGGTCTGGCTCTCATGTGGGAACGTGGCTAGGGAGAACCAGGAGGCTCTATGCATTACAATGGCGGTGGCCATGGTTCTAGCAGCAGCGTCAGCGGCATCAAGTGCTGCCTGGAGGGCATCTCAGGAAATGGCGTGTCCTTCAGATAGTATAGTGGTGAATTGAGGTCTCTATGCCTCGGGGACATTGTCAGCAAACTCCATGAGTTTGGAGTAATTGCAAAAGTCATATTTTGCTAGCAAGCCTGACCAGTTTGAAATTCTGAACTGTAAAGTTGCAGAAGTGTATGTCCTGCAACCAAATAGGTCAGGCCTCTTAGTGTCTTTATCTGGTGGAGTAGTGCGAAAGTGACGTTGTTTTACCTGCTAATGTGCAGCTTCCATCACTAAAGAGTTCAGTGTGGGATGAGTGAAGAGAAATTCCAAAGTATTGGCAGGTACATAGTCTGTGTCTGCACACTTGCACGTATGTGGGATCAATGCAGGAGTTTGACAAATTGTGTTGGCAAGATCCAAAATGGTGGAACTGTGGGGGAAGAGCAATTTTATAAGATGGAGCAGCTTGGAGTATAACAGTGAACTCATGCTAGGGTTGCAACACTTCTTCCATGGCAATTTTGAGTTCAGCCACAACTCTCTTAAAGAGCTTGTTAAAGTGCTCAAAGTCATCCATGGCTGAAGGTGGAAGCGGCATCATGGCCTTGTCCAGTGAAACACTGCTGATGAATAGACAGTACAGTGACCCGTACCAGTGCGTTCCTAGGGTGGTGTTTGGGCCCTTTGGAGTCGGCGCCACTGGCTGCCTACAGTGCCTGAACACCTGAGGTACCCAGAGTGTCGTAAGTGCTGAGGCAGGACCTCTGTGCCGATGATCTGGGCAGAGACCAATTTCTGGAGGAGAGCTGACAATGAGGCACTGAGGAATGCCTCTTTTTTGGTGCCTTCTTCCCTGAGGGGACTCTGAGGGTGAGCATACCACCCTAGGCTGCCTTCCCAGATCTGAAGCAGGATGTGCATTTTTTTCCAGCAGGATCAGTTTTAGATGAAGGTCCCAGTCTCCACAAGTCCTGGTCTTGAGTTTGGCACAGTGGGGACAATCTTGCAATGAATGGTGCTCCCCTAAACATCTGACGCATTGCAAGTGCCAGTCGGAGATGGGGATTGCATCTCTGCAGGAGGCACATCGTTTAAAGCCTGAAGAGCTGGGCATGACGAAAATCTTTTTTTTAAACTACAATTAAATATGGAACAAGAATAATCCTAACTAACTACTAACAATTAAAGGCTAAGAACTACTTGAAGAGTGTCAATAAGGCAGAGAACTGCAGCACTCCATTTCAGGCCAAGGGCGGTTGAGAAGGAACTGCAGGGATTGGGCCATGCATGCGTGGTGCCTACTAGCATGGTGTGCAGTGGTTCATGCTGGGCATGTGTGGCCTGACAGAGACTGCCTTTCCCTGATTTGAAGGTGCAGCTGGAACAGAAACAGTTTTAGGGTGAGTTTGTAATAAGTTCGTATTGAGGACTTAAGTGTTAGCATTAGCTAAGCATTTTCTGTTACTTTTAATTTGTAATCTACTTTGCTCTGCCTGTTCTCACTTATAACCACTTAAATCCTACTGCTTGTAACTTAATAAAATCACTTTTACTTACTATCAAGCCCAGTGTAAATAATTGTTACTCAGGGGAACAATCATTATGTACATTCCCCCTTTCATTATTAAAGGGAGTTTACCCAAATAATTCACTGGTGTTTTGATCAGATTTGGGAAGCTGGACCCAAAACTGCACCCTCCTTGGACTTGAAAAGGTTCAGCATCTGTACTGCTTCTGGCAGAGGGGAGGAGGGGGAAGTGATCTCAGCTTGGTGCCTTGGTTGGGGGAGACCAGAGGAGCCAGCCCAGCTGGACCAAGTGGTAAGAAGTCCTAGAGAGTGGGACGGTGAGTGGCAGTGGCCATGTCAGCACCCTGGGAATCGTCTATGACCTCACCCCATCATAGTGGGTTCCTGGGTGAGGGTGCAGACAACCCCCTAAATTTTTTTTCCAGCAACCACGCAGTACATCTCCATCATAGTCACCCAGGGTATGTCTACACTACCCCGCTAGTTCGAACCTGGTTTAAAAACCTCGAGGTGTTCCACGAGGTGTACCGGTAGTTCGGAATAGGAAGCCTAGTCCGAACTACCTAGTTCGAGCCCCGTGTAGCCGCGCTGCACGGGGTTCGAACCAGCGGGGTTTTAAAAATGGCGGCTCCCCGCTTATGCAAATGAAGCCCGGGAAATTCAAATCCCGGGCTTCATTTGCAAGTGCGGTATGCCTACATTACCCTCCTAGTTCGAACTAGGAGGGTAGTGTAGACATACCCCCAGGAAGGCACCCCTGCAATCAACTTGGGGGCCAACTCTGTCCACACAACTATACAAGCAACATCATTACAGCACTTAACCTAAGCCACCACATCAGAGGCTCATACAACTGCACACCCACTAATTCGATCTATGCCATCAAGTGCCAGCAATGCCCCTCTGCCATATATATTTGCCAAACTATACAGTCTCTATGACAAAGGATTAATGGATACAAGTCAGATATCTGAAATGGTAACACACAGAAACCTGCTGGAAAACATTTTAACTTGCCTGGGCACTCACTAATGGATATGCAGACCATCCTGCCTGAATTTTCTGGGCTAGTCCAATTTTTAATGTCCTGCCCCAGTGCCCCATCTCAGAAAGTCCCCAAGCTCCAAATGCAGCTAGAAGTTGCTGTGCAGCTGATTCTCTTCCCCTTCCTCCAGCTGGGGGAATAGAGGAGTCAAGGACACTTCCTAGGTTTCCCTGCTGCTGGGGAATCCAGCCAATAGCAGCTTCAGGAGGTGTTGCCTGTGGGGAGCACGCTAAAGCAAGTAAACAGCTGGGGTCTGGGAGGGGTGAAGACGAGGTGCACACCTTATCTGGGCCAGGTGGAGAGAATAAGAGGTGCGCAGCTCAGCTGGGCTGAGGGGTGCAGAAAAGTGGCGTATGGCTCAGCTGGGCTAGAGGAGCAGAAAAGTGGTACATAGCTCAGAGGAGGCCGAAGAGCAGCCCACAGCCCAGCTGGGGCTTGGGGAAAAGGGGGTGCCAGGAAGCCCAGTATGGTGGGCAGCAGCAGGAGGCCTGAAATGACCTCCCCTGATTCAGAAAAATCCCTCATCCAGGACCAGTCAGTTCCAGAGGGTGCTGGACCAGGGAGGTCCAACTGCTACGCCAAGTCTGCTCCTATATCCTCCCTCCTGACCAGACTTTGCATCCTCCTCCTAGCCAGACACCTACCCCCAGTCCGCTCCTGCACAGCCCCCCTTGGCCAGACACCCTCCCTCCTAGCCAGACATTCACCCCCAGTCCGCTCCTGCACAATCCCCCTTGGCCTGACACCCTCCCTCCTAGCCAGACATTCACCCCCAGTCCGCTCCTGCACAGTCCCCCTTGGCCAGACACCCTCCCTTCTAGCCAGACATTCACCCCCCGTCAGCTCCTGCACACTCCCCCTTGGCCAGACACCCTCCCTTCTAGCCAGACATTCACCCCCCGTCAGCTCCTGCACACTCCCCCTTGGCCAGACACCCTCCCTTCTAGCCAGACATTCACCCCCCGTCAGCTCCTGCACACTCCCCCTTGGCCAGACACCCTCCCTTCTGGTTGAGCACCACACCCCCAGTCCGCTTCTAAATCCATCATTGCTCCTGCACTCTCCCTCCTGGCCACCCACTACTACACCCTCCCTTGCTCTTGCTCCCTTCCCCTGGCCATACACCCTACTCCCAATCTGCTTCTGTACCTACCTCCCACCCAGATCTCTCAACCTCTCCCTCTTCTGCATCCCAACTTCTCCCAGATCCTGCACTCCATCCCTATCCCACTCACCGGCAGCCCTGTCAAATACACTGAACTCCTCATTTTTGTCCCCACCCCAGAACCTATGGGGGGGTCCATAAAATCCACCAGAAAAGTAAATCTGACCAATGGAAAGACCTGAACATCAGTTCTCCCTATCCCTTTTCCTCACCCCTTGGGGCTAGAATGTCAGAAGCATGAAGTGTCTCAGTTGGGAGCCAATTTAGTGAGGGTTGGGGGTTTGGGGAGGAGTGCTTTTGCTTCTCACCTGTGTAGTCCCCAACTGATTTTTCTGTAGATCAATGCCCCCTGACCTAAAAAAGGTTCTCCACCCCTGCCATAAATAAAGAAAACATTGAAACGTTTTGTGTTGGACATAAATTAATATTTTATTTGATTTAAAATGAAGTTTGATCAACTAACATGAGAAAGTTAAAATGCTTAATCTGTTTAATAATTTAAATTAAAGCATTCTCCCTAGCTGCAGCACTAGAAAAATGGCTCAGGTGTAATTATGTAATTAATGGTGAGTTTCCATTAGCGACTGGTGATCCACGGAAAGGTTTACATTGAGCCAGTAGGTCCACAGGCCAAAAAGATTGAGAATCACTAAAATAGAGGTACCCCTAGATTTTACCCACAAAATACCGCCCCCGGCTCCCTGTTGCTTCAGAAGAGTCAGAGAGAGATGAGGTATGTTACCACAGTGGTGAATCACCATGTCACTCCAGCGTGGATGACGGACAGACTCTTTGTGAGTCTTCCTCATCTAAGCAGTTGATTATTTAAATGAGTTAATATGCCACATGAAAACAATTGGTGCATCTACAGAGAGGCAGGATGTATCATCTCTCTCCAGAGAGGGTTGTCATGACTTGCGTGTCTGGGAAAATAAGCTCTTTGCGAGCTTTGTGAAGAGGTGAGATGTTCTGACTTCCACCTTCAAGGAATTTGTTCTTCTGTCTTTGGGCTGCATGTTGCCTAGACCTGAATGGAGTTAGCTGTGACAATGCATTTCTGAGTTATTCTGACACAAAGTGAAACCTGTGCTAAAGACTGCACACCAAGTGAGAGAAAACGCTGCTGTCAGAATAAGTAAATTCAAAGTCTCTCCAATTTTCTTCAAAGATCGCCTCTATCAGGCAGTGGGGCTGTGACTGATTGGTCCCTTAAATTTCTGAAGGGTGAGTAAACGTTAACTGGGTCTTCTTGGGTAATATTGACAGATTACTTTGGGCCCAATCCTAGCTTAAAATTTAAATTGGATCAGGAGCTTTGTACGCAGGTTGGGAAGTGGTCTCATTTGGCAATTATTATTAGGTATTCTTTACTTAACATAGGCATTGCCATCATGGTTTGACATATACATTTCTCAGTAGTTTTACACATAAAATAGCCTACCCCCATTTATCTCCATGGGAAATGTACCCTTGAAAGAGCAGTGGCAAGGGTTAGTGACATGGTTTCTCCACCTTGTACTTCTCGTTGTTAGTTCAGTATTGTCATTCTGGCTTGTGGAAACAGAGGACACTTGATAGTTTTGCAGTAACTTCAAAAAATGCAGTTTTAATACATCTCATTAGGGATGTAAATTTGCATTAATCAGTTAACTGGTTAATGTTAGGTCATACTGGGGCTGCCGCCAGCTCCCAGCCCCCTCTGGAAAAGCCCCTGTCGGACACCCCATGGAGAGAGGCTGCTCTAGACACTGGTTCAGTCCCTGCCTGCAGGGCCTCCCAGCTCCCCATTGACAGGGGCTGCTCCAGTCAAGAAAAACCTCTGTCTATAGTGGGGCTGGAGCAGTCCCCTGCCCACAGCAGATTGGGAGCTGCTCAAGCCCCCCTTTGATTACCAGTTAATTAGAACCAGTAAGCATCATCCGTTAAGAGGACTAAGGATGTTGTCCCATGAAATTGTGGAATAGTTCTGGATGATTCCCAGGCCCTCATGAGTCAAATGGGGCTGCATCAAAACTGTAAACTAATAAGTCTTGGATCCTCGATCTCATCTTGAATCAAGGTTGGACCCCTAGTGCTGAAGTGTCATGGAACCATAGGTCTGGAGCCTGGGTTAATGCAATTGCACTATAGTTACATGGGGGGCGCCTATAGTGCCCAAACCCATCCCTACTGGGAGAAGACAGTGGAAGGAGTTCTTAGGGGGGGTCACATGGCACCCTTTCTGTCATGTGTCCATTTTGACCCTATAAGTACTACCCCAGGGGTGGTATTTCCTGTGGCAGGTGGATAGGGCCTAAGGGGTAAGGGGCATGGTTAATGTGTCATTATTTTTGGTTCAGAAAATATGGTCACTGTACTAATGGTTCTAAAAGTGACTATACTATTACAAAGCAATTTAAAAAATGAGCTGGAGAGAAAAGCTGAGGAACTTGGTTTCATTTACAAGTTTGACACCTGTAATCAAGATTTGAACAAAGACCTCACCTGGATGGGCTGCTACTTCCACATCCTAATGACATAAAAAGCTACTTAGTGCTCCCTGTATTAGCCTAATTTAGTACGGACACTCTAATTGACATTTTTTTTTCCTATTTGTTTTCTTCTCTTTCCCTCCCCCTCTTCTGTCTTTCTCTGCTATTA